TGTTTCTTAGGTTTTGCTTTGGGCACCACTTTAACAGTAGTAGAAACTGATTTGGCTCCTTGCAGATTCTGGGCGGTGCAGGTGTATGTTCCATGGTCCACGTCCCGCACCTCATCCACCAGGAGGACAGACTGGGACTGCTGTCGGGCCGCTCCTCCACCCACTGGACTGATGCTGTCCTGAGTGTACAGAGGCCTCCCAATCTGCAAACAACACAAGAAACCAGAACATTTTTAATAAATGATCAATAGATAGCTGGATGCTCTGTAGTCCATAGGTCAGAGGCCTCTTAACTAGTACGAGACAAACAATAAATACAAAGATTATGACATAGGATTTACATAACTAAAATGTATAGTATAGCAAGCATGCCATATTGTAGAGTTTTAAATAAAAAATATTGTAATGATGACTGTCTTCCTGAGTGTCTGACCTGCTGTCCTGGGTAATCCCAGGTGAACTCCACAGCCACGTCCTGCTCCCCCACCACAGAGCAGCTGACACGCAGATTCTCCCCCGCAGTCACTGAGCTGGACGAGGCCTGGATCACTGGAGCAGGGGGAGCCATGGGGTCTGATGGCAAAACGTGGAATGTAATTCAGTTATATAAGTGATAAGTAACCAAACAACAAACAAAATACTGACTAATGAAACTGTGTACTGTAACTCCCTGCATGTTCTGCCTGTTTTATCAGTTTTTCTCCAGAAAATCTTAGTTTACAAGTTGGTAAAAAGAGACAGTCAGCAACAAGTGCCAGAAAAATAGTTACTTTTAGCTCAGAAATTAAAATGTAGTGCGGAAGTACTGCTGAAAATGTTGTTCTTAAAAGATAGAATACTGAAATGGCAGGAAGAAAAAATACATAGGTTTAAAAATGTTGAATGAGTAGTTAAAATAGAAGTGCTGAATAAAGTTTAAGTGTTAATTTAAGTATTAGCACTGACTGAAGTCGCCTATCATCTGACAACAAGATTGCAGAAAATAGGTTTCATGTACATGTGGAAGTAGAAGTATATTTGAACAAAATGGTCTGGAAATTAAAATCGCAAGAATGCCAGTTCACTTGTTTGAACTGAGGATTTTATTTAGTTTTAGTGTCGGCTGAAGTAAAGGCAATGTATAGTTTGTGTATGAACAGTTGAGGTTATCGGAGTTAGACAAGCTGCATAAAAGACAATGTGCAAAGAGTAAATGGGTAAGTATTGAAAGAGTCTTACATACATTCTGTAAAACAAGAAAAGTTGCAGTTCCTTACCGTAGAATAGGAGTAACCAAATATGTTTGGGTGTTCGCTTTATAAAACTTTACAAAAAGTGTTTATCAAAATTGTTGTCTATCAATTTTTGTGATTGTGGCTTTTGTAATAATTTGACCATCATTTTAGCGCTTGTTACTTATACTGCCCCATCAGGCAAGTTAGATGGACATGGGACTCTCTGTAGCTCATGGTTGCAATTATCTTTAAATGTACAAATATATTGGACAACATTTGCCTGCCTTCCTTTCTGGTGCAAATGAATTCACAGTTAAGGTTTTGGACAACTGTGAGGAAGCACTCACAGTTAACATAGATGAGCATGTACTTGGTGGAGCTCTGCCTCAGGTTGCCCAGACTGGCGACACAGAACAAGGCTCCAGCATGATGAGGCCGGGGGCGATGAATGGTGAAGCCCCTCTTGACGTTAAAGGAGATCTCTGCCCCGTCCACTGCCACCTCAACTGGAGGAAACTCACGGTGCAGAGTCACTTTGGCCTGGGGTGAACTCACCTGGCAGGGGAGGAGAGTAGGCCAGTTGGTTCTCAGCTGGATCGCCTCGTAGTAGTCAGCCGACGGGACAAATAGTTCTTGTGGATCTGATTGGAACCGTGAGAAGATGTCCGATTCAAGACAAGATAACGTGAAGAGTATCAGTCAAATAAAGCAGGGGCCTGCAGTTGTGAGAATTATATGTGTAAGAATCAATTAAAATGCACTGTACCTGGAAAGAAGACAAATACTTTGACAGCTTTGTCATACTCCTTCCTGCAGTCTGTGTCTTCACAATACATCGGATAACAGCTGAACTCCCCTGTGTCTGCACCCGTAGTGTTGATCAACGTCAGGACGCCATATCGCTCCTGTTGGACCATACTGCAGAGCCAAAAGAGGAAAGTCGGAAAACGTACTGACTTAGGAGGATAATTGCATTAATATTTAAAGGAGAGGTGTCATGGCCATTTCCACTGATCATAATTCCATTGTTGAGGTATACTAAAATAGATTTATACTGTGCATTTTTCCAAACTCACATTGGTTTCTCATACAGCATTTCTGTAAACTACTTGTATTCACTGAATTTCACTCTCTGCCTTTAACGGCTCGTTGTAGCTCCAATAGCTCCAGCCCCCACCCTCCCTGTGAGCACAGTGTGCTCTGATTGGTCGGGACGTTGTGAATTGCGCTGAGCTCCGTGGAGGTGTTGTTTCCTTGTTTAGGATACATAGCGAAACACAGCCAAACTCATCCTGAGCACACACAAACTCACATCCGAAGTAAAAACAATAAGTGTGGCTTGATATTGAGTAAGAAAAAGGTTGATAAACGCTGTGAGAATGGGTCTGCAGAGAGAATTTCGCCGCAATCCCAACTGTCTGTTATCAGCCTGCAGCCAGGGAGGAGAAATCAGCTGAGCTGCCTGCTCCCTGCACACAGATGTGTGTGTGAGGAAGTCCATGGATTGGTCAATTTGGACCAATCAGCGGGGGCTTAACGTAACGGCTCCGCGGACGTAACGTAACGGCTCCACGGACGTAACGTAACGGCTCCACGGATTGGTCCATTTCGTTCCGGGTACGGCTTGACATCAGGACGTACCCGGAAGAATCAAATGGGCAATGACGTATCTCCAAGGAGGCGTTTTGGGGAGGTATTTTCTGTGTTAGAGTTTTACTCGCTATTGGGTGTACTTTGAGGGTTTTGACTCTGCACACCGTTGACATGCATAAAAACCTTCATAACACACAAGGGGACGGGTAATAACCGGAAAAGCATGACACCTCTCCTTTAAGATGTATTTGCTGCTTAGCTGACCTGAGCCTTCCCTCATCATCCTCCTCCAGGTACTTTGGGACGCTCCACTGCACAGGTTTGCCCCTGCACCTCAGCTCCAAGGTGTCTCCTGACTGCACACTTATACTGTCTACCACCTTTTTAAACTTCCCTCTGTTTAGCACCTTTATGTGTCAGATATGAAAACACATAGTTACTGTATACACTGATGCAGTCATTTCTCTGTGTTTTACTGAACGATCCTTGGACACCATTCGTGCTGTTTCCTACCTGTGTGAGGAAGGTCTGTGCCGGGGCTGCAGGTGTAGTTTTGATCTTTGGTTTGGCTGTTACAGCTCTGGGCGATTTGTTTTTTGACCTCCCAAGTTTGGTAATGCTCGGCTTTGGCTTCCTTCCTGGTTTAATCTTCTGTTGTTGGGCCTCTTCTTGACAATAAGCTACACAGTATACACAGTAAATGAAGCAAGAATAGTCCACAAATAAGATTAGATACCTTAATTGATTCCCAGCAAGGACATTTCGAGAACATTTTACAATGACCGGGAATCAAACCTTGGTTTATTGCTTGGAAAACATGTGCTCACCACTATACCACCATTGCTAAATCAGGATACCGGCAATTGTTAATGATACGAATCAAGGGATAACAGTTTTATCTTGATGTGCCAAATGGTGGATCAATGGTTTTTACAACATGTAAACTCCTAGAGTAGGCCATTATGCCTAAGGGCAACAGAAATGTCCCCTCCTTTGTGATTCTAGGAACACATGTTCAGAGAACTGAAGTGAATCAAATCACTTACCTAACTCGAGGATGACAGCACAAACAAGGAGAGCGCTCAGCACCAGCCTCCCCTTTGATCCAAACAAGTTCTCCAAAGGCATGATTGATAAGTGGAATAATATCAAAGTGGCTTGTTAGTTCATGCAGTTCAACACAGTACTGCAGAATCCAGAGAGAAGAGGAGGAGGGCAGAGCTCGCAAAGTGAGAGCTCAGCTGTTTACCAGAATCACACAAATTCCTCCTCCTGAGATTGGCATTAGTACCCCAAATTCCTCCTGACTGGCTCAATGGAGGCTTTCAAGCCTGTCCGGACCAATGAGGGTCCAGAGACAGAGGCCCCTGTTTGCTTAGCTGCTGGACTGGAAGTGTATGAGCAGCATGAGTCTGGCCCTCTGAAGCAGCCTGAATGAAGTCTGTGGCGAGGTAATAAAAGCATTTGGTGCCCAATAAACCATTTGTCCTATGTTTACTGATTGTCGTTCTACTGGTAAAGAAAAAGCTTTGACTAGCTTTCGAGTCATAAAAATCAAATCAATTTATCATCTATGTTGAGATTTATCTTTTTAAGTAAATGTATCTTTGGTATTACTATTGGCGTGTTTTGGTGCAGTGTTTCTGTTGTGAACAATTTTGTTAAATAAACATGATTTTATTATAAACTACAACCAATATATGAATTTAAGTGTTTCTAGAAAAAGGATTTTGCATGTTTGATTAAAACCACAGAATGCTGTTCCCAGTGAGAACTATGTAAACCCTCCGTTTGAGCGACAGTCTTGAACATGAACAGGTAAGCTTCCATGAAAGGTCCTTTTGTTCTCACTGAACTCCAGATCTTTATCTGAGATTGCAAGGGGAACTGGACTTTTTTTTTTAAATGAACAAACCCTGCAGAAAATGAACTCCAGATTGCATTCGCCTTAAAACTGGATTCTTTATTTTTAATTAAGGAATACATTTAAAATATTTAATTAGAATACATGTACAGTTTCCATATATACACTTTAAAACAACAAACATTGAATACATTAAATCTTGAAACAGGCAAAAAAATATATTACATTTGACAAGATTGTATCTTATATAAAAAATTATTGTTTTGCTATTCATAGTCATAATTAGAATTGTATAAAATTACAATACATCTCTACACTTTACAATTTATATGAAAAATGTAAACTTGTCATCAAAGTAATAATATAGTCATTATCAACTGAACATAGTGTGAGCCCTTTTTGTTTTTAAACACAGGTGTAAACTACTTTGAGAGTAGATTATTAAGAGGCTCCAAGACAACAGGCAATTTCTACAGATCCAGAAATACATCAAGCAATGCTAGCAATGACAATATTTAGATAAATTACAAACTCCATCATAATGAAGAATAAAAGGGAACAAGTTGGCCTATCTGTCTATTTCTCTGCATCAAAACACTGAACACCTGTTGCAGATATGTATCAATGCAGGATCAGATAAGCCTGTTTAACAGTTGTTTCACACTTAAAGCAGTTACTCACGGAAACATCTTAATGTATTTCCGCTTCAGCTGTGCTTAGAATTTTTCCTCTTTAATGACGTCCATGTCTGTTTTGCCGCTGACAGTTTCAATCCTTGGCTGGGTGCCCATCAGGCGCTTCCTCTGAACACTATATCGGATACCGTAGACAAAGTAGATGACTAACCCTGGAGAGAGAAAGGTGGGTCATTACAGTTCAGAAACTAACTCAATAGAATAACTTTACTTTTCAAGCAGAGATATGTTCTTACCCACAAACATCCAAATAGCATATCGTATCCAGGTTTCTCCACCTAACTGGACCATCAGGTATACGTTGATGAATGTGCTCACTAACGGCAAAGCAGGGAGTAAAGGCACCTGTGAGCAGAAAATAGAAGAGATTAATATATTTTGTAATTAATGTTAAAGGTGGGGTAGGTAATTTTGGAGAAACCAGCTCGAGTGCGCTAGAATTTGAAAATACACAGCCGGAAAAAATCTGCTTACAGAGCCCCTCCTCCAACACACACGAACGCGCACATGACCAATGAGGGCACGAGATAAGTTAGTGCCCCGATGGAAGGCTGACAGGCAGGTAGGCCATCCAGTTATTTTAGCTGGGCCGGCAAAAATGATTGGTCGTACTTTTTACAGTATTACGGCTTCCAGATGACATTTTTTTATGGATTTTTTGTCAAAGCACTTAAGATATTCATTGCTATCGGGATGTTAAGAGTATTCCATGGAATATAACAAAAAGTGTATCTCGAGCCGGTTTCTCAAACTTACCTACCCCACCTTTAACTAGAATGTATGCACAAAATGTGTCTCGTTTCTCGGATACACAATTGAAATGTTCTCACCATGAAGGATGCCTTGGAGCTATTTTGTGGATGCCTCCAGATGAGGAAAGTGTTAAACAGCACAATCAAAGCGAGGATGGATACAAGCACCAGACTCCATACTTCCAAATTGGCCAGAGCGTCCAATGCTTGGCTCAGAATGACACAAAGTGCTACCAAACATGCAACTGGAGAACAAATATGAAAAAGAGTGATCAGTTCGTGGAGCAGAGGAACAAAGACTTTTCAAAAGCATTAACTTTGGGGTAAAGAAAAGGAAAGTGCCTAAAATATAAAAAGGCACTCATGTTTGGCGTTCGTACCAGACAGTATGGTCAGGATGGTGACTCTTCTGGAGGTGGATGAGTTAGGGGTTGATGGAGGATTAAAGAGGCTGAACTTGGTGTTTGTCTCTATGATTTTTAGGTCTGAGTCTTCCGATGGATCTGGTTGGTACCTTGATTTAAAGAAAAGATAAAGATGAAACATAAATTCAGTTTTGCGAAGTGTTTCTAGATAAAGCCCTGGGTGAGAAGAAGCAGATACAATGAATATACCTCAGTATCAAGATGCATATGGCCACGAGTGTGTAAGCAAACAGAGTGCCGATGGACATCATTTCCACCAATGCTTCCAGGTCAAACAGCAGCGCCATGATGGCTGGAGATGGCAATAAGAGAATACAGAGTTACTTTTAGTCCAAATACTTTAGCATATATAAACTTACAGCTGTAACATCTGTACCTGCAACAAATCCAGATGATATGGTTGCTAAAGCAGGACTGCCCTTGGCCGTGACTTTGGTCAAGAAATGGAAAAGCAGGCCGTCTCTTGCCATGGCGAACAGCACCCGGGGCATGGGGAACATCGAACCCAGCAGGCTGGAGATAACAATGCCAACAGGCTCAGTCAACACTCATCAAAAGGCTTTTAGTACCAGGACAGTTTCAAATGCATAGAATAATGCTGTATTAGTTTCCAACATAGTAATTATTAGTATCAGTTTTAATCTGGAAAAAACAAGTAAAACTAAAAATGAGTCTACACTACAGCCATGCTAGAAACTCTGTGAGGTTGTATTGGTGATTTAAGCAAAAAATAATTATGTCAGCATGCTAACATGCTCACAATGACATGCATCTTAACATGCTGATGTTAATTAGGTATAATGTTTACCATCCTTACCATCCTTGGTTAAGTATAAGCATGCAAACATCAGGAATATCATTAGTGTTGTAGGTATGAAGTCATTACCCAAGTATCAGATGAAGAGAATTGTTGACCTGATGAAGTTACTACAAATCATCCTGAGGAGAACATAAATGTCTGAATCACATTTCATGGGGATCTATCCAATTGCAAATGTCAATGGAGACATTTCACTCAAAACCATAATGGTTGACCTTGTGATGGCTCAACAGGAAAAGTCAGGGATCACTAGAGTCACTATGATAAGTCCTTTGAGGACAATAGCCGCGTTCACACCAAGTACTTTGCTGTACTTAGTGCCGGCACTTAGTGCCCCGGCACTTATTACCCCAGGGCACTTACAGTACAGATCGCGTTCACACGGGAATAAGTTCCCTGAGGGAAGATTACGCAAATGAGCCGCTGACGTCACTTCGTCTTCTTCTGCTTTACTGGCAGGCCGCAAACCACTTCACGGCGTATACTGCCACCCGAAGTCCCCCGGCCGAAAGTCCCCGGAGTTGGGGACTGGCTTCAGTAGAAGCTGCTGGGACTCCCAGCAGCGTCTACTGAAGCCTTCCGAGTAAACCTCCTCATCTCCACCGCTCCCATGTTTTATTTTGTGTTGCCATAAGTTAGTCTCTCTGCATATGTGCGCTGGGCGAATGCTAATGCTAATAATGCTAATGTGTAGTGATCACTTATTAATACACTGGGTTACATCATTCAATCAAGGAACTACAGGTTGGGGGTATTGTTCCGCACGGACACTAATGCTTACTGTACCTCCGGGGTATATACTGTGTCCTCCTCCCTTTCGCTTTCTCTTCTCTTCCCGGGCTTCGACCCAACAACATCTGCATTTCTGCTGCTCAATAAAGCCAGCTTTGTACCTTCATTGCACCGCCTCCGACTCCCTTCTCTCGGCACTACATTGGTGACCCCGACATAAGTCTCGCGAAGTATCCGAGACTGAACCGAACACGGCAAAAAGCGCAGCTTTTCTCGAAATGCCGGGGATTCTTGGAGACGTCCGTGGCTGCCACGTGCACACAGACTGAGGCTCGGTGCGCCCCACGGAATGGCTGAGGACGTCGCCCGCCATTCCCGCATCGTCTCGGCACTGGAAGACAGCAAGCCTTCCGACTACGAGGAGACGATGCACGATCTGCTGGGTGTGGAAGAACCCGACTTCTACCTCGTGGAGCTGTTTCTTCGGGACATGCGGCTGCATGTCCAGGCTGCGCTAGCTAACACGGCTAGTTTTGAGCCCCGCGCTTTAGCCGACGAAGCTAGCCGGTTCTTCCTGGCCGCCCGGCGATTTACCCCTGAGGTGCTGGCCACTACACGCTGCGGCGCCTTCCCTGGTGGGGGCACACCGCCTAGCAGAGGCTCCGGGGCCGCCGCCGCCGACAGCGACTAACGGCCGTCGTGAACGGCTAGCCTGACTGCTAGCAGCTAGCGGCTAACGACATCCGACTGTTAGCCCCTTTTTCTTTTTCTTTTTCTTTTTGTGGTGCCGGAGAGGAGGTTCGATCAAGTCTGGTCGGCCTCGTGTGGATCCTCTTACAATTTCGCCCGCCTGTTTTTGATCGTGGACGGGACGACCCTTTTGAGTTTTTTTCTGGTGCCTGAGAGGTGGTTCGACCATGTCTGGTCGGCCTCGTGTGGACCCTCTCGCTTTTTCACCACCTCGACAGCGGCTTCGGACGTCGCCCATGCCTTCTTCGGCCCGTGGGGTGGCGCGCTTCTGGACCCCGTCTCGCCTCGACTCTACGGTTTTCGGACGTCGCCCATGCCTTCATCGGCCCGTGGGTGGCGCGCTTCGGGACCCTGTCTGGCCTCTTCCTTCGCCTCGGCAGCAGCTTCGGACGTCGCCCACGCCTTCATCGGCCCGTGGGTGGCGCGCTTCTGGACCCTGCCTGGCCTCTCCTATAACCGCGGCTCACGGTTCGCCTCGACGGCGGCTTCGGACGTCACCCCGTCTGGCCTCTCCCCTGTCCACGGCTCCTTCCTCCCGAGGACTTCGTACCCGCCGCCGCTGTGCCTTCGCCTGCGGCCGGGCAGCGCTCCTCCCTGCTGGGGACCACCGGGATATTCACGCCTGTCCCCACGTCGCAACACAGCGACCCTGCTTTCTGCGGCCCCCTGACGACGGCCCATTCCGGCCCACCCCCCACCCCCCGGTGGGGATGCCCTCGCCCTCGTTAGGGCCCCTACCCTCTCCTGCGGCCCCCTTCCGAAGGCCCGTTCCATGGCCCGGCCCTCGCCGGCGGCCCGGCCCTCCTCGGCCCCTGTGGTGCTTCCTCCCGGACGCGAGGATTGTGTCCATGGTTGAATTCTGGGGGGGCTTGTGTAGTGATCACTTATTAATACACTGGGTTACATAATTCAATCAAGGAACTACAGGTTGGGGGTATTGTTCCGCACGGACACTAATGCTTACTGTACCTCCGGGGTATATACTGTGTCCTCCTCCCTTTCGCTTTCTCTTCTCTTCCCGGGCTTCGACCCAACAACATCTGCATTTCTGCTGCTCAATAAAGCCAGCTTTGTACCTTCATTGCACCGCCTCCGACTCCCTTCTCTTGGCACTACAAATGCGAGGATAATAAAATGGCGGCTCTACAAAACATTTCAGAGTTTTACGGGGCGTGGTTTGCAATTCGCCCAGCCAATCAGAACTGGGGCACTTTTTTCCCCCAGGAAAGTACCATCTCTCAGCAGGCACTAACAATGGGGGTAAAAGTTCCCGGCTTGAAGTACTCTTTTTGGTGTGAACGCGACATAAGGGGTACTAACGGAACTAAACGCGAAAAGTACGGGGAAAAGTACTCCGGTGTGAACGCGGCTCATGAATCTCTGCACTAAATTGAATGCAATCCATTCAACTGTTGTTGAAATGTTTCTAACACCAAGTGGTGGATTGACCAAATTACCCTGTGGCGAGCACGACTAACAAACAGGTGTAACATCTTGTTTTCCATAGACCTATATTGTTTTCTCCAATGACCCCGTTACCCAGACTTTACACCCAGTAGTTTTTACCTGGTGGACAGGGCACACAGCGACCCCACAGCCACAACATATTTGGCTGGTTCCCAACCAATGTAATCAAAGGCCACTGGCAGGGGGCTTTTTTCATTGAGCAGGTAGTAAGGCATCATCAGGGTAAGAGCAGCAGACACAGCAAAGTAGGCGACGAAACAGATAATGAGTGAGGCCACAATGCCCAGAGGGATTGACTTCTGGGGGTTCTTCGTCTCCTCGCCTACGAAGAAAGAAACAAAGAACCTTAAATGATATTCCTCCTCCAGCGGTTACATGACAGTAAAATAATACAATCACATTAATATGACAATTGGCAGAATGACAAACACATTATTTTCCTGTTTCCACGTAAAGGAAATTTTTATAGTGTGTAGTCACATCTGATGACCTTCATCAGACAGCGTTTTCTCAGGGTTACAGTGATGATTCAGTTGTTATCAGTTTACTGAGGTCAGATGATAACAACTGAACCATCTTCGACACCAGTGAGCAAAATCCTTGCCATGATGAAGGCAACTACACATGGATAATTTAAAAAATACATGAGATAATGGAACAATTTTGTCTCGTATTTTTATGGTAAAGGATCTTATACTGGTATATATCTTACCATATCTAACCTTACAGTATACTAATCACACTGGACTCTTAGAGGTAGACGTTGTCCTCTTACCTGTTGTAGCGATGCAGTCGAATCCAACAAAGGCATAAAAACATGTTGCAGCTCCAGCCACCGTTCCACCAATGCCATAGGGAAAAAATCCACCCTCTCCATATATGCTTGTCACATTGGCAGTAGAGCTTAAGTTTCTGCATTTAGGAGAAAGCATTATTTTGTGTTTATCTACTGTGAGATGAACCAGGGGAGCAATATTACTGTAAAGGATCCTGCCCACACCCAAACACAGACTATATTATGCTCTTTGACATTACTTGAATGCTGCTGTGGCGTTTATCAGAGCCTCTTCACTGATTTGCCAGTTGGAAATGTCCCCCATAATGAATCCAGAGATGGCCACAAACAGCAGCACCACGATGTTGATGGCTGTGAAGATCTTGTTTATTAACGTTGACTCTTTCACTCCAAATGCCAGGATACCTTCATGGAAAACATGGTAATTGTCACTTTCTTTGTATGCACTGCTACTACCGTCCAAATGACATATTTTTCATAATTTTACCTGACAGTATCATGATTAGCCCAGCAGCAAAGACATCTGGGTAAGGTGCCAGGCCCGGGAGGCCAATGGCTGCATTTGCTTCAAAGAATTTGGATATGACGCCGCCGATGAGGTCATCAAATGTCCCACTCCATGCCAGAGCAACACTAGATGTCCCTGCAGATAGTGAGTGACACATGCAATAAATGAATCAGCCTGAGTCACCATTTAAGTGTAGTCATAAACATAACATACTGATGGTGATAGTTCCTACGTCTTCAACGCTTTATGATTTAGTTAATTTAAACAACAATCCTGGTTCATGAGGTTAAATTACGACAATTACAATCACTCAAGTAATGAATTTGAAAGTGGCATGAAAGTTGTGTTTTGTCTGAAGAACAGTAAACTTCCGCTGTGGAAAAATTGTCTTGTGACGAGGTAAAAGGTTGCAGAGTCTTAAAGAGTGTCATGTTGATGGTTGATCATTTATGAGTTTCAATGTTCGCACTGTGAGAAACATGTTATATAAGTGGAAAATACATTATTAGAGGGTGTAAATAACAAGTTTGAGCCGGGGATTAATACTAAGCCATAGACTAAATCCATAGATTATTTTTGTTTCTCTACATTTTTGGTGTATACCAGCAACTCTCTTTTCAAAACAACCTTATAACAGTAAGAAACGTTCATCACTAAATACACTGGAGAAAATGCTGCTCCAAAATCAAGTAAAAGAATAATGAAAACAAGGTGTTTTCGCTTGTAATAAGTAAAAAAAACGGCTCGAGATACACTTTTTGTTATATTCCATGAAATGCTCTTAACATCCCGATAGCAATGAATATCTTAAGTGCTTTGACAAAAAATCCATAAAAAAATGTCATCTGTGGAAGCCGTAATACTGTAAAAAGTACGACCAATCATTTTAGCCGGCTCGGCTAAAATAACTGGATGGCCTACCTGCCTGTCAGCCTTCCATCTGTGCACAAACTTATCTCGTGCCCTCATTGGTCATGTGCGCGTTCGTGTGTGTTGGAGGAGGGGCTCTATAAGGAAGTGGCAGATTTTCTCCGGTTGTGTATTTTCAAATTCTAGCAATCTCGAGCCGGTTTCTCAAATGTACCTACCTTTAATTAGCTGGGAGAACTTACTAACATATATCTTACCCGGATCAGTAAATGTTATTACAAAATAAGCCTGAAATGCTCAAAAGTGTTCAGTTTTCTGATGTTAGTTGGTGATTTTCCAATAAGAATTTGTTTTAGTTTTTTAAATCAAGTAAGATTTATTTTTTAAAACAAGATTAAACCATCTTTTACAAAAACCATAGCAGCTTAAAGAACTTGTTTCATTTGAGATACAACTCAAAATAAGATGTTTTCAAGAGTCTTGAAGATTTATTGTCTAAAAACAAGACCCACTGCATTACCTCTTCAGTTATTATGTCTTATATCGAGTGGAAAGACATATTCTGACTAGATATTAGACACATATACTTGGCAAGATTTCTAGTTTTTACAGTGTATAAGACATTATATTATTTTTGGTATTGAATTCAAATATTATGCAGTGTATCAAACTTGCCTATGACGTAGGAGAGTAACAGATTCCACCCAGTGATGAAAGCCAGCAGCTCTCCAACAGTCACATAGCTGTAGAGGTATGCTGAGCCTGTTTTGGGAACCCGAGACCCAAACTCTGCGTAGCATAGTCCAGCAAATATGGATGCCAGGGCGGCAATGCCGAAGGAGAGGATGATGCTGGGTCCCGCAGTGTCTCTGGCCACCTCTCCAGACAGGACGTAGACCCCGGCCCCCAGGGTGCTGCCCACGCCTAGGGCCACCAGGTCCAGAGTGGTGAGGCATCGTTTAAAAGTGGACAGCTCCCCGTCTGGCTCCAGTGGCTTTCTCCGAGATAGACTCCCCAGGAAGGACTTCACACATGCCATGCTTCTTTGGGTTTGGATGTTAAGATGTGGGAATTCTGATGAAAGGGACAGGTGGGAGGTAGGTTAAATGCTGTAGCGAATAAAGAAGAAAGAGTGAGGAGAGGAGTGGGGGAGAAAGGGCGAATCAGTGAACCTTAGAGTGAATAATTGTCAGGTCAGCCCCTCAGTAGAACATTTTTTCTCAAGCATAACACATTTCCTCTAAATGTGTTGTTAATGCAACAGTTACAAAGGGATCTATTCATCAAGGCATCAAAAAAGTCCAATTAACAATAGAGATTTGGACATATTGCAATTTGTTAAAGATTATAAGATTATATTAGAAGAATTTACTCACATGTTTTACTAAGATTCCACTACATTTTCATTAGGGTAAAAGAAGACTGGATTCACTCACCTCCTCTGTGTATTTCCTTCACAGGTGTGCTTAGAAGAGACAATTAATAGGACCTGTCATTCCCCTAAATCACATTATTCCGTTATACATGCCCTTCTTTATCACCCCGCTGATATGATACTGCTGATGCTTGGAGTTTTCATTGCCGCCCACAGCGCAAAGCAACGCCCTGTTCGAGAACTGCACTTTACTCAACCTTCAATTACTTACACAATTACTTCCGTTAGAATGTATGAAGAATGCAGATTGGTTTATAATTTGGCAATAAAAGAACATAGTTTTCTATTTTACAATGTGTTCTCGCCTCGCCAGCAGTATCATGTCTAAGATATTTCCTCGTCTCAGATTGATTTATTGTTTTTATTCCCTGTGTTGACCTGCTTTTTTTTAAATGAAAAGGCAATTTTAATTTTTGTAAATGACTCTAAAAACTGTTTTTTGGATTTCTAAACAAGAATTATAATTCAACCCATTTTAAAATATCTGACAGAGAGGGACAAATAGGAAATTAGGAATCTTCTACAGAAAACTGAAGAGGACCAGTGGTTTATTTTCTTAATTATTTTTCAAATGTGACTCGCTTGTATTATACGTGAGAGATGATTTGGCTTTCATAATTGTTTCATGATTGTGCCTTCAAGATAATCCAAGACTTTAAGGTTCACATTCGTCTATGACTTTGGATTTTGTCCTTCCCAAACAGAAGGTGAAGGTGGCAACAAAACTGAGAACAACTCTACATAACCACATTCCTGCTATCTGATGTGACACCTTTCAATAAAACATGTTTTTTATTATAGAAGTATGCAGAGGTACGTCATCCACACTGTTCTCAAAGTGTGTTTACATGCAGGTACATGTTACACCTTATCACTGTGGCTGTGTTAGAGTGTTGCTGCTTATCTAATAGGAACCATCACCCCATCACTACTTGGAGGTGTGAGCCTGCCAGAGTTAATGAAACAGAGGAGGACAAAGCTTCATTCATAGCCGGCTGCACACTTCTGTGCCTTCTGATCTCCCATCAGGGTATTTCAGCTCACATAATCCCTCTCGGCATCTCCTTCAGCAGACAGGAGGCGAATGGGAAAGCAGCCTGTCTGTACGGTCAAAGTACCTTTGAGAAACTTAAAGCTCTGCCTATCTGCAGATCTCAGGGTTTGAGATACCGTTTCCAGAGGAACAGTGGGGTAATGCCTAACTCAATAACAGCTTTATGATCAGAGGGTTAATATGTTTCCCAGTGAAGCTCAGTTAATGATCACCGATGTGTTATTTATGGCTGTCTACTGTGCAATTAAAGACAAATCACAGATACATATTACAGTTCACACTCAAATACACAGAAATTAAAGCAGAGGTCAGAGATTTTAATCTAACTGGCTGATGGTCATTTAATTCAGAAGATACAGAAGTTGTTTACCTTGTGTTCAGTCCCACGAGGAGTGGCTGGTGACTGTGTGGTGAAAACAGCGCAAAGAGGCAAAAATATCCGTGCTGTTGACTTGGATGAAGGAAACATGATTTTTACTGCGATATATACAAGACTCCGAGTCTCTGTGACCCTCCCACTGGAATTACTTACAAAGTCGCCTTTCTCACTCAGCACCAGTTTGGATAATAATGTGCTCATTATTGCACTGACGGCACAGGGTGAGAATTGTGAACAGCAAATCCGATTCAGAATGTGAAAAATGCTTTTGTGCTCACTTAGTTTTCACAAGATTTTTTTTTATTCATTTATATGTGGTGAAAGATTATTAGGAGTATTGAAAAAAGAATACATGATATAATAGATTCTGATAAATTGCTGGGAAATGTAAAAAATGTATTGTTGAAATAAAATAAAAAACAACAGTAGTGAAATCATGGATGCAATCAAACCATTTAAAAAAAAAGTTTTAACAATTTCTAATAATTTCTGGATTATCTCAATTAAAATAATCTAAATTCCTAACCTTGGGGATGTTAATAATTCAATTTTTTTTGTCTGTAATTTAATACAGTTGGGTTGGCCTTTTGAAATGTCCCATCTGACAGTCAGGTTATCATGATAAGTGTGCAATGCTATTTTAAAACAGGAGAGGTCAGTGTACAACACTTACTGGTGCCTCAGAGGTCCCCTCTCACTCTGAACACTGGCGGAGAGAAAATGAGGCCAAATAATATGATATGAAGATGTATGAATATGGAAGAACAAGTCAGAAACAGCGCTATTTCCCTGATAAACACAAACAGTTGATACAGAGTGATGGTTAAAATAATTCCTTCATGTTCTTACAGTAAACTGAGGTCAAGTTGTGTCAGTGAAACATTGATAGTAACCACAGGTTGGATTGCAGTCACATGAAACACTAAACATATTGAGTAATGCCTCTGCTATTCATGGTACTGTGCAGTATGTAAGCCTCCGTGCTTCCTGGAAGTCACCTCTTATCCACCCTTCGGCCAGCAAACTCAATAAAATGTCACCAAGGATAAATTGAGGTATCACAAATCTATCTGCATCAAACACCACAGCCACAGCCAGCACATATAATAAATGTTGGGGCTCTTAAAAAAAAAGTTCTAAATAATTTCTGTTTCCAGACTTAAAAGCAAATGTGGAAGAAGTACTACAAATACAGACAAAAGTATTGATATCAAATTGTACTTAAAGTACCAAAATAAAAGTACTTTTAAGAATCATATTTATGAAATTACTAGATTACAATTACTTTCCATAGTGCTGCTAGATGTTTTTTTACCTATAATGATATGTTTATTTGATTATTGATTTATAGTTTGCATTAGCTTATAGTCTGAATCTAAAAAGTAACTAGTAACTAAAGCTGTAGAAGTGTAGTGGAGTAAAAAGTACAACATTGGCTTGCAAAATGTAGTGGAGTATAAGTATAAAGTGACATAAAATGAAAATACTCACAGTACAACACTAACCTTATGGCTACCACAACATTGTACTTAAACAGTACTTGAGTAAATGTACTTTGTTACTTTACACCACTGCTTGAAAGTGTATGTTTCCACACATTACCACCAATGTGAAATATTTGTCTCATTTTTATCATGTTTAATTCTGTAGTCCTAAATGCTGAAATGGCCACCCCCCACCCCCTCCCATTCCCCTCTTACTGGAATAGATGCCGACAGGACAGAAATAGAGCAGGCAAGCTGCCTTCTGTTTAAATCACATTTGAACTCTCAGTCACGTGACAAAGTTCAGACATTCAGAACAAATTCAAAGCGAAAAGTGCCTTCAACAAACCCCAAGTAAAGGTTTCCTTGATGCTAAAGCAAATAGCTTTTGAATGTTTTCTTAAAGAGGGGTAGGCCTACACGCTTTGCAGCAAAGTGCTAGAATGCAGAAAACACGTGTGCCTAAAATTGCGCAGCCTCCGTGCGTTAGGTTTCTGATGTTACCACGTAACACACGTTTGAAGTATGTCTTTACTGTAAGACATCTTCCCGTTACATTCAGGATCTCTCTCACACACACCTCTGCGAGACAGATCGCCGCAGTCGTGACGTCACAGGACACGTAACGGGACTGCCCGAGTCTGACTGGAGGAGCACACAGACCGGGTTAACGGGGACAGAGCAGCAGGACACTCTCACCGGATACTGCCTACACACACAAGGTAAGCCATATTTAGTATTATTTATAAAACATCTTAAGCCCGAAGAAAAAGTGCTTTGGGAAAAGTTTGCTCGCGGACGATCCAGCGTTAGATGTGGCAATTAATTACTATAGACAGCAGTAAAACTCTGGAAGACAGTTGTAATTTTATTTAGTTAATTTGTGGATGCAAAAGAGAGTTAATTTACAACTAAAACTTTCTTTGTGTTTTTACTTAGAACAGTCTATTCTGTAGTGTGGGGTTCAGAGAAGGGTGTGGCTCTGCATATACAGTGGAGGCTTGAGGCCAGCCCCCCCCTCATACCTTCATTCTGATATTAAGTTAAACTGTGCATGCTATTTTGGGAGAGCTTTCCTTATGTCTTAAGCAAACAGTGCTGCATTGAAACTGTAGAAAAGCTCAAAGTCTACATTTTTAAAACATTTGTCCTTTCTTCAACTTGATCTCATAGTACTCAACTGTTATTTTGCACTGTCATTATTGAGAAATATAATCAGGCAGCTGTTCCCATATGCTTTCTGAATGGCTGCTTTCTACTATGTAAACTTACATAGTAGAATGTTGCATAGCAGCACGGAAAATGTGACTAAATAGTTTTCCTGGCTTACTGAATGTGAGGTCTCTCTGAGAAGCTTGTCTTTTTGGTCAGTTTCCTGTGCAGGTGTTTACCACATTGAAGAGATCACCTTATTAGGTTTACTGAGGAAAAGAAGGGATCATTATCACTGCAACACAATGGGGAGGAGGACGGGGGAGGAGACACTTCAAGAGGACAGGGATGTATTGCAATTCTGTTATCCAGCCCTACATCAGCATTTCTCTGTGTCTCTCTCTAGGCCTGAAACTATTGATTCCTGCTCAGTGTTGACACAGAAGACCAAATATAGAAATGGTAAGTTGAAATGACCTTTCTCCTCTTGCATTATGTAAGTATGAAGCATTTTGTATCATACTGCAGAGCAGATCTTGTGTCTGTGGTACATGGTCGGTTTTGTGTACCATTGAATGAGATGTGGATAGAATGAGGTCATTTTTCTGCCACCTGCCACCATGTGATTCCTCCCTATCATAAAGGCAGCAGTGTTGGGTGACACATCTAATGGACACAGCTGACAGCATCTTTCCAATGGCTTTGTCTTATCTTCAAATGTATTGTCCGAGACGTTAGTCAGTGTCCTATCGTTCTGCTCTTAGTTGAGTTGGACCAATATTGGCTGTTAATTGTACTCTGCACAGCTGTGGCTTTAGCAAATAAGAAACAAGCAGGGAGGAATGAAGGAGTACAAATGTAGCTAACACATTACTAAATGGGATTACTTTAGTTAAAGGCCTGTTGCTAGGGGTTTGTATTTGCAGCCCTGTTGCTATGTGGGTGAAGCTCTCCAGCTGTCGTGAGGAGAAATGGTCTGTAGTAAAGCAGAGAGCAGTGGCCCCTCACCAGGGTGGAGAACATATTTTGGCTGAATGCCTTAATGCAGTAGTATTTTATACAACAGCAGCTGCAGTAAGAGCCTTCGAAATGAAGGCCAAGCTTTATTTTTTCCCAAAGTGAATGAGCTAATAACATCACACCTCTAAAGCCAGGGCCCATTTTTTACAACAAAATCCTTGTGCAGTGCTTTATATTTTCTTTTCATGCCCAATGGAGTTTGTTAGTAAACTCTGACATTATTGAGGTGCTGCATGACAGAGCGTTATGTGAAACCTGACTCTGTGCTGCTCCTATGGACCCACTGCCCCCCCCGACACACACACACACACACACACACACACACACACACACACACACACACACACACACACACACACACACACACACACACACACACACACACACACACACACACACACACACACACACACACACACACACTATAGGCTATCCTCTGCTCAGCTGGGGGTGGGACAGGTGCAAGCAGTCAGCTGTAATGTCACCTCCTGTCCCAGTGTCCTGTCCCTGACACTTTTACACAATTAACTGCTGCAAGCCAGTGCGCTGTTTATGCGGGATAGTGCAAACTTTATAAGCTGTCTAGTTTAAGGTCAGCGGCTTCTGCAAATGCTGAACACAGCAAGTTTCTCTGTGAGGCTGTACCCAGGCACATGTGATGTTTTGAGCTAATGGCTAATGTTACTATGCTAACATGCTGATGTTTAGCTGATGTTCATCCAAACATTCACAATTCACACATGTTCACAATTATTTTTCATAAATGTTTTGCAAGGGGTTATTCATAAACCAAAGTATTGGCTAAATTAAACGAAACCATGGATGACTGTATCAATTCTATAGTTATCAGAGAATTTCAAATAAAAACTAAAATATCAACAACATGCGGATGCTAAAGTAGTAGTCAGGGGATCACCAGGAGGCTTTCTCCTTTGGGGACCATGATATTATATATTTTTTAGGGATTAGTGAGCCAGAGCAGATGCATTTCCTTGCATCTGAATGTACAACTGCACATCCAGAGTTGCATTTCTCTGTACTGGCTCAGAGGTCTACGCATCCCAGACATCACTGTGCACTTCGTTCTTGAGTCATGAGTAGCCTACTAACACCTTGTCTCTCCTCTGAAACTACATTTGAATTTCTTTCTTACAGGTGTTCAGAGGCATAATAACAGATGCTCCGGACTTTGATCCCTCCACTGACGCGGAGACCCTTTACAATGCTATGAAAGGCATGGGTAAGTGCCACATTCTTCTTGTGATTTCTGATTGCGGAGGGGAAAATGTCATCTTTCCCCGTCTCCACTCGTAGGCTGAATGATCACATAAGGAATTCCACGCAGTGGTCAGGGCGGTGATGCAGTAATAGATTTTATGTCACTGAGATTACGTTTTGTTGCTTTGTGCTCCTTAGGT